CAGAATTGGTGGCTGACTAAATACTTTTTTGCCCCACTGTATAATTATTTTACATAGCAAAAAATAATCAAGTGTTTTTTGAAGGAAGAGATCTGAGGAAAAATGAGTATAACTGAAAAAATGACTGCCTTTAAACAAAATCAAAACCAACATTAAAATATAATATATATGTTGTGAAAGAAAGGGAAGATGGTAAGGGTTGGGAAAAGAAAATAGAAACAAAAAAAAGATGACGTAAGAATGGGAGTTAGCATAATGAAAAATAAATCAACTGGTCACAATGAATTCACAATAGGCAGTGTCACTGCTACTGAAGACCAGAGACTGGGTGACAATGAATGTGACTGAAAGAGGAAGTTCATATTCATCTCTCTCTATTCCCATACAAAAACCGCAGAGATGACTTAAAGAATACTTAATTGTCACTGATTTTGAGAGTATTTCCAATTCCTTCCTCACCATATCACCAAGGTGTTTATGTGAGTAAGAACAGTTATGTTCTTTGGTAGCTACAGCAATGCCCTGCCCTTTCTAATCCAATGAGCTACTGACCTAAATATCAAAGAAAGAACTTCACAGACAATTTTGAATCAGACAGAGCAATTCAGAGACTGTCTGAATTAATGATACATATCTGTCTGTTTAATGATACATATTTAATCCTCAAATCCAGCTTTCTAATTTATAGGGATCTAGACTCAATTTACCCGCATGAATAAATGTTAGAAATACATATTTTAATGAAAAACTAAGTACTCAGCAGTTTAAAAATGTCTGCCTAGTCTCCCAACAGAACAGAAACAACAGGATTTGTAGACTGGAGTATTTATCCTCCAAGGCACTGACCTTACGCTTTATTTTAGTTATTTCTGGAGATTTCTGGGGAAGTTGTTTCAACTCAAGTGCCATGAGAAATTGATTTCCACTGCAATAGCATAGAATCAAACTGTCTCAGATCAGGCAAAGAAAAATTATAACTAGAACTACATGGAGTTACTTAGGACATGGATTTCATTTTAAAATTACTCTGTCCCGAGATAGAAAGAGTTGGCTGTCAGAGAAGTACAGAGGAGCAATGACCCTATGCAAGACTGGAGTACTTGACAAAATCTATATGTCCCAAATCTTGTTGACAGTCATCTTCTAAACATAAATAAAGATTATAACGTACTTGTCATTGACGAATGAATACATCAGGAGCCGTTCATCAATAAATTTCTTCCATTCTGGCTTTTCATTAGCTAGATCCCTGTAGTTATCATTAGACACAATTATACCATCTGACTCAAAAGCCAACTTTACTATGAACCTGTCGTCATAGCATACCACTCTTCTCCCTTGAACTCGACGTGATGGGGTGAACACCAGTATTTTCTCTTTTTCTAATTTACGCAAGATTTCTTGATCTAAAATATTGAAATTGAAAAAGGAAACATAATACAGAACACTGAAATTAAGACTTAATTCAGGCTACCTAGCTCTACCCTATGAAAGCCTTTAATACACACACACACATACAGTCAGATGATTTGGCTTAATTAAAGCAATTATTATTCTAATGGAAGCAGATAGTTACAATTAAACAACACATCAAAAATAAATATAATCTCTCTTTACCCATGAACTCGACAATTGTGCTTAGGACCAGGTGTCACTGTATTTAATTCCAATAATCTATAATAAAGCCTGTACTTTATTTCTAGATTTACTAGTACAATGAATAATTTTTTTAAAAATGAACTGTTATCTTTCCCATATATTAAGAGTATGCTGGGTTATTAAACACACAGTTATAATACTAAATTATAGTTCCAGTATCTGTAAAAATCAGAATTTGAGCAGCTTCTCCTAAAGATACATCCAACCAGGGTATACTAAAGGGCAACTTCCAGTGTCTACTGAGCTATTTGACTATCAATTGATATTACAGACATAGCCTTTCCCAGACATTTGAAGCAACTCAGTTTGAGGTGACCCAAGCTGAATTACATTCAGAGTTACTAATTCAGGATTTAGAAAAAAGGCCTTTTTTAATAATGAAATAGTTGCTGATAGGTTTGGGAATCTGTAGAAACATATTCAGATTTCATTTTTGTCCAAAATCGCAACAGCTTTTGTAACATTTAATTATATTTCACATTTTAATTCAGGATACAAATCTTTCCCAAGGAGCTTACGAGTAATGTCTGAATATATTAATGACCTCACAGCAAATTAAGTCATCAAGCCACAAATTTTAATCCAGTAAGCTAGCTAATAATTTTTCCTGCTCAGAATATTAGTAGATGTGTGACAAGCTACAGTAACTCTGTATTTAAATTTTTCATTTAATACAAGATTAACTTCTAAGTGACCTTTTTATTTGTAAACCTCTAGCAAAAATAGATGGGCAATAGATTAAATCAAGTGGCTCTAAGAAATATATGTTATTAATACATGAATACAATGTATCAAGCATTAAAAGATTTTTAATGCAGACATTCATAATAATTAATCAACATGATCAATTAAAACACAGAAATCCTATAAGCAAATGATGAAATATGTCATACAGGTAGACCTTGCTTAATGACTGCCCTGTTTAGCAACCAAAGTTACAACGGTGCTAAAAATGTAACTATACAACCAGTCCTCACATTTACAACCACAGCAGCGTCCTTGCGGTCACGTGATGGCCATTCAGCTGCTTTGAAACCAGTTGGGGTTTACAACTGTCGCAGCGTCCTGAGGTCACATGATTGCCATTTGCATGCTTCAAAGCCAGCTTGTGACAAGCAGAGTCAATGCAGAAGCCAGCAGTAAAATCGCAAATTGCTATTAATGTCTCGCTTAACAACTGTGGGTGATTTGCTTAACAACCGCAGCGAAAGTGACGTCGTAAGTCTGGCATGGTCACATGATCTTTCGCTTAACAATCATGTCACTTAGTGATGGAGTTGCAGGTTCCAACTGTGGTCATTAAGCGAGGACTATCTGTAATGTAAATTCCTCTCATTTTATGCTTGAGTTGTGATATCACACACAATGTAAGAGGCAGACCTTGCATTGACATCACAATGCACATTTCATCATTTTGACAAAAATCTCAGTTTGCTGTGGATGCCCCAAACTGGAACACAGTTTGATCCAGAATTGTATGAGTAGTAAAGAGCTCAAAAAACAGAACATTCCTGTTCCCTGCTTCTAAATGAAGCCCAATTGCAGTTCCCTTCTCCCAATTAAACCCCCATTAAACAACAAGTCTTTGAATGGGGGGAAACCCTTTAGAGAGGGATTATTTCATATACATCTGTGAATACTTGTCACTCGTTGAGATGGGTGGCTGTAGAAATCAAATAAATAAACATACAAAATGCTGTATTAAATAGGCCTTCAGACTGTTCCACGATAGGTCTGATTATGCTAAGCTAACAAACATTTGTTCAAGTGACACTACCTCATGTTCTTTTCCCAAAGGAATACCAACTTGTATACATATATTAAAAGATAGTACTTTTACAGAAAGGAGTAAGAAATAGTAAGCCAAAGGAATTAAAGACATGAGGTACGAAAAAGAGAAGGAAATATAGCTAAACCTAGTTTACACCACTATATTTCTTTATATCTACCTGTGTAGACTATCCTAGGTTCTACCACATCGGTATACCAATCATGCATTGTTTTTTTATTTTTTAAATTTCTCATCTCTCTCTTTTTGAGGAATTCATCAACTCCACGCAATGACTTTTTCAATCTTCCCCTTCCTCTCAATCAATGTACCTTCCTTCATATATTTCTTTTGTGATTCAATTCTTATTCATTCTTTCTGTATGACTAAACCACTTTCTTATCTGTCACTCACTTTTGTATTCAATCCACATTCAACATCCATTTATCCTTGATGCCATCTCTTCTTGTTTTATTGTACATACTTCTTAAGTGCCCCATTCCCATTGCATTCAATTTATTTTTATGTCTCTCCTGACATACCCAATTCTCACTTCCATAAAACAAATCAGGCAGTAGTATGTTCTTATACACAATCATCTTTACTTCTTTGAAAAACATTTCTTCTTCACAACAGAATGCATACTGTCCACTACATGTTGTTTAAAGAGGCACCAGGAATTTGCAAATTCTGATTTAAACTAATCTGACAACATCACTCCAAACTAGAGTACAAATTATAATATAGGTATCTGTTGGGTTTTGCATTTTTTCATATATTGCAATGCAATTCTGTATCAACATGTATCAACTTGATGTATTTTGAGAATATATTAGAATAAATACATATTTCAGGTGGGTCCAAAAGTGCTTAGATTTATGCATGAAGATGAAATAGATATGTTAATAAACAAATATTAACAGAGTAAGTACCAAAAATAGATTGATTCATCTCTAATGTAATTTAGAAGTTCCTGAACACAGAAAAAAGGTCAACATGATGTACTGATACTATTCGTTTCTGAGAATTTACCCTTATCTGCAATATTTTTTCACTGATCATTTTTGCATTAAATATGTAAGCATAAGTCAGTGCTTTAGTTCAAGACAGAATATCCTGTAAGAAAAAGTATTTTTCATACTTGGCCAACCATTTTGTTTAAACAATTTAATCAGAAGCCAATTTATTCTCTTTTTAAAGTAAAGAATTAAATCAGAGCTGAAATCTAGTATTCTGGTTATATTCATGGCTAGCCAGATAACCCCGCTCTTCAGCAGAAAGTGTTAAACCTCAACACATAAACACCACAGAAGTCGTCATTATTTGAAGTGAACAGTTCAGAATGTTTTAATTAAAGCAGTCCTTAAAATATGTACTTACTTAGAATAAGCAAGATCAAAACTGTCACAAATTTTGCAAATGAAGCTGCTGAAAGCTGATCAAAATATACCTGTAATGAGGGCATCTGGTCGAGACTGTTCTTTTCTCCACGCCGGAACAAACACTGTAACATCTTTGTGTCCTCTTTCCAAAAACCAGTCCACGGCCAGTTTTATCCCACGACAAGAGAATACTTCTTTGTTTCCATGGCTGAAACAGACATCCTAAAATTACTAATCTATATTACTGTAACTACCACTTTTTCATACATGTACGAATGGAGTCTATCTGCATTCTCTCCTCATAAGTGCAAAGCACTCCAAAGTAATTAACAAAAGCTAAGTGTGGCATTTAAAGACTCTCACAAAATAATAAATTGTCTGTAGACAAGAAACTTAAATTAGAAACTGGATTTTCAATTCAAAATGCCTATAGAAATAGAAAATATTATTTATTTGTACGTAAATTTGTATGTTGCATTTCTTTGACATATATTACTCCAAACCAGTTAATGTTTAAGTAGTATGACTTAATTTTACACATTTCAATCTTTTCAGAAATACATGATTAAAATATTTATTTTCAGTGTAATTTATATCACCTCCTGATGGATATACCAAAATTAAGCTACTTAACAGAGAGTAAAATATGGCAGGCAAATAGCTCAAGACCACCTGATTTTGAAAATGTTCAGATCCCAAGAGAAGAGAAACCAATACTCCAAAATAAAATAAAAATAAAAATAAAAAAGAAACATCTTTGCATCCTCAAAGCTATAGGGAAAATGTTTTTCCTAAAGCTTTGAGGATGCAAAGATGTTTCTTTTTTTTTTTAATTTTTCAAAACCTATATTGTTCCAATAACGCTTTTGTGGTTACCACATTTCAGACAAAGCAGGGCAAGATACATTCATAGCCTTTCTAACTGAAATCCGAGTGATACTGTCATCTGTTGTGTAAAGGACAGAGCTATGCGAATTTCAATTTGTCTAGATGGCTGAGATATACCTCAAGAAGAGAAAGAAGGTAACGTGGTGCTGAGGAAGCACACTATTCTAGTTGCTCCTTGGATTCTTTTCTAAAGAGCCTATTTTTCATTTGTTTCAACTCTTTTTAATATATGTTTTTCTCATCGTTAATTGTATAAGATAATTCTTAACTTTATAATTGGGTATTTTATCAACCCTCTAGCACTACAACATGGGAAAAAGAAAGAAGCAACAGAGAGTAAGCTCCAAGTACATTCAGTACTCAAGTACTCTAAGTACATTCAGTAAACAACCCAGCAAAGCAGCAAAAAATGGACAATTTCCTGAAGAAAATAAAGATGAAAGAAGTAAGTAAATCTAATAATAGAGTGAGTCCATCCCACTTATTGAATATATTTGATGTGTTGAAGTGAGATTTTCAAACATAGATAGAGAGTTAACAATTATTAGAGCTTTCCTCCACTCTCGATGAAGAATCGGACTTTCCTTCATCATCCACCTCTGTGGCGGCGGCTGCCATTCGTTCAGCAACTGCACTACTTACAGAAAATGGTCAGAAGGGGAATCTCAACAATGAACATATTACTGACTTTATCTCCAGGCAATGTTTACTGACTGCACATTGTAATATCAATTTTTAATACCTATCAACAGTAAAAGGAAAGGTGGACAGAGTCCTTTATAGCGTTCACTAAGACTTATCAAGACAATTTAGCAGAGCTGGATGAAATACAAGACTCTGAAAATAAGAGTGAGCAAACTGCTATAAACTGAGAGAAAGTTCCTGGCCTTAATATCCAGGTAAGTGAAAATGGTGCTCAAACTCAGGAAGAGCTCTTTGTTAGCTGCAGGGGGAACAGGGAGAATGGAGCGAGAATAATCATATACTCCAAAATAACTTGATCACCCTACTGATCATTCATAAAAGATGTAATAGAGGCCAAAGGGAATCAAAAAAAGCTGTTCATATGTCACTGAGTCAATTCCTTCATTGCCATCATTATATGATTGATTTAATTTACATAGAGTGGATGCCAAGCAATTCCAGATGTAAATGAAGCCTGCTGACATTTAAGCATCCCATTATCTCCAGTACAGGTAGTACTCATTTAATGCACTAATTGGGACTGGCAACTCCATCACTAAGCAAAGCAGTAATTAAGCAAAACATCACGTGACCGCAACTTCCAATCTCCTGCCGGCTTCCCCACTGACTTTACTTGTTGGAAGTCAGTTGGGAAGGTTGCAAATGGCGATCATGTGACAGCAGGATGCTCTGACCGTCATAAATGCATGACAGTTGCCAAGTGCCTGAATCACGATCATGTGACCACAGGGATGCTGTGACAGTTGTAAGTCCGAGGACCAGTTATAAATCACTTTTTTCAGCACCACTGTAACTTCAAACAGTCGCTAAATGAATAGTCGTTAAGCGAGGACTAGCTGTATGCTTTTCAAAATGAAGCAATTTCTAGGGTCCTTTTAAATCTTTCCAAAACGGGTATTTCATGAAGAGAAAATTATTTTAGTTCTGGTTGCACCACACCACCAAACTGTCACCGCTGTAAATTCAAAAAGGAAAGCTGCAAAAAGTCCTGGTAACAATGTCCAAGCAGTGTCCTTGAGAATGAGCTCTGTGAACAATCAGCTGCAGATAACACCTGGTGGTAAGATTATGAAACAGCTTCTGGAAGCAGATTTAATTGACACCTTTGGAGCTCTGCCAGGAGCTGAACAGGATGAGATATTAAAGAGATTAGACAAATTGAGATGAACATTGCAAATCATACAACCTGCAGCTGCACCACTGATCAAGTTAGTTTTGCCCACCTCTATAGCTGGATGCAAAGAATGTAATACGTCAAGCCTCCTTCTTACATATTTGAATTCAATACAGATCATACAACGAAATGGGAAATAAAAAAGGAATAGTTAGTTAGGTTCAAGTTTTGAAGAGGACTAGCCTTCAGTGACTGGAATTGATTATAGTGCACATACTTCTGATGTCCATACTCGATATGTATTAAGATCTAAAATTCAGGATATGAATTATATGCATCCTAATTTAGAACTATCCTCCAACTTATCAAATATTTTGACCATGGTTCAAGAGCAACTTACTATCACCCTAAGGGCTGAAATATTCAATAAGGCTGATGTGCTCTCATCTCTGTATTTAGTGATTGCACTGCAGGCTGCTTTAATTGTTATAGCTTTTTTAAGATTTTTCTGCGCTCAGAATTTCAGATACAGTTTAGGAACTAATGAAGGAAGAGTGTCAAATAATGAATACCCTTCCCTCATAATATGATTGATTTTTGGAATCCTCATAAATTCTCTCAAATTATATCACAGAATGTTGCTAGGTGGACTGCCAAGTTAAATGACTGTGCCTTTCCAAATTAGTGAATATATTATTCTTTTACAGGAGACATGGATTAATGAAGACCCACTTTTTAATAGGGATGCAAATCATTGTCCCTATATGTTCTCCCAGGAAATGGAGGAAGTAGATTATGTGTGTGTGTGTGCGCGTGCGTGTGTCTAATTCTGCTTATTTCTTTAGCATTATAGGTGAAATATTAGAATTTCCCCCTTTGGAAATATGCATTGTCAGTATTAATAAATTTTAATAACTTTACTTGGTTATTAATTCATGTATATATACTCCCCTTACGCACTCATTCTTTGATTAATGAAGCAGGGTACAAGTTAAAAAATTATTCCCATTTCCATGGGTTGTACCCAAATGCTCATATGATAGCAGCAGGGGACTGTAATGCAAAAATTGGACTTAATGAGCTTTATATGAAGTTTCATAGCTTTCCCCCCTGATTTTACAGCAGTACATTCCCTACTACTGCATCAATCAAAAGACCACAATACAAGCCTACAAAGATTGTGTACAATGCAACTTTTGGACGGTTTAGATCTTGTGGTTCTGAATAGCACATTGGATACAGAATATCCACCAGTGTATACGCACTGGGCTGGTACATAGCCCTCTTCAACAGAATACATTGCATTATCAAGGGCCCTAGTCTCACATCTGCTAAAATTTACAACTGGTATATGCCCTGATAGTGATAACTTTCCAGCTGTTCTCTATTTAAGAACACTGGGAAATACAGCATACTTGGGTGTTGGCACTATTCCTAAAATGGATTATGAAATAGGCCCAGCGTGGGTTAAATGGCCATTTCACAGTAGGATCATTTGGTGAAAGGCATGTTGAGTTCTAAAGAGGCTACACAGGTTCATTCTGCTGTTATGAAGGAGGTCTGGATGGATCTATTCTAGCAAATGATAATAAATTAGTGATACTGGTAATTGGTGAAAAACAGTCTTCTATTTTACTGGTTTGGTCCCCCTTATCTCCTCTGTTAAATTCAGAGTCAGCAAATGGAAAAGCTCCATCATACATAAACTGAATCATTGTTGACTACTCTCTGGAAACCATGCCAACCTTAGGTTATGACCAAGCCAGACCCAAGATAAGACAGAGAATAAAAGATAAAGAAGGCCAGAAAGCTCATCCTGTGTGTCAACAGAGGTTTATTTGGGTGCTCAACCCACTAATCTTAGTCCAGCTAGATACCTGAGGTAGGCTGAAATATTCAAATATAGGCAGTATACATTAGCATGATTTAACATTTTGCCTACAACTGTCTTGGTAGGTAGGTATAAGAAAATTCACAATGAACAGCTTTGTCCATGTGGAGCTGGTCATGTTGAAACCACTACTCATTTTCTTCTATACCAGTGTTTCTTAACACTTTTTTTCCTCTGAAGAACCCTTCCCACTTTTAAAAATTATGAAGGACCCCAAAAGAGCTTTTTGTATGGATTTAAATTAAATTAAAATAAATGCATCTGTTGCCGTTACAACTTCTCGTGATTGTTTAATGGGATTTTAATATTGAATTATTTTTCAACATAGACTGACAAATAATTTTGATTTCGCGGACTTCTCAGAGGGTCTTGGGGGACTGCGAGGGCTTCTAGGACCACACTTTAAGAAACACTGTTCTATGCTGTCCCTTTTATCAGGATATTCATCCACAATTAATTATTAATTTGACACCATTACTAGCAAATTATCAAGGACATCCAGCTTTATTTTATCTCTGGTATCTATTGTCTGACAGAATTGATAAGTGTCTCTCTGAACATTGCTAAAAATTGTTATATTGCCTGCAGATATTTAAAGGGAATAACTGCA